AATCAATCAATCAATCAATCAATCAATCAATCGAGCCTCAGTGGAACTTTGGTTGTCCCCCCCTTTCAAAATAAGAGACCTCAGAGAGAAAATAAAAGACAGATTTATGACTCTGGCGACGACCTCTGGCTTTTACAGGTCGTGATGCGTTTACTGACCAAAAGATAAAGGTGCTTAATAGAGGGGGGGGGGTGCTGACTGGGTGACGCTACGTGGGCCTGGGATGTGACACAGCGGAGAGGAGCGTGGAGTTTGTGGTTGGTTCTAGTTCCTCTCTTGTGTCCCCCCCGTCCTCTACCCTCCCTCTACCCCCTGAAAACCTCCCGCTCTCCCTCCCTCCGCCCGTCTCTCCCTCCCTAGCAGCCGAAGGTCTCCTGCGAGGCGTAGACCATGTAGAGGAAGCCGTCCTCGTCCCGCTCCTGCTCGTAGATCTCGGAGATGGGCGTGGACACGGACACCATGCTGTGCTGGTTGACCAGCAGGAAGAAGGCCTGCGTCGGGTTCAGTTGCAGACGACGCCTGGAGGAGGAGTCGGGGGGAGGGGGTGAGGATAACACAACAGAAAAGTTACAGTGGAATTTATTTTTCTAATGTTTTTGCACATGATTCTCATCATGATCATGTTTATCTGCATGTTGTCAGTTCTACTTGATCGTGATCATCATCACATCACTTATTTACTTTTTTATAAATGTAGTTTTGGATCAACGATGTTTTTAAATGTGTCTTTCAGAAAAATGACAGGTTTTTTTTTGCAGTCGTTACCATCGACTTCTCAACATTTAAAGTGAAACTCAGCCCTGGTGTGTTTTCATTGAGACGTCTAATGTTGGGGGACACGTGTGGGAGCCAATCAGACCCAGACGACAAAGACCAATGAGGGAGCTGAGACAGAGACACTCTGACCAGTGGAGGAGCAGCAGACAGGTGCGTTTAAGTGCCCAAATCAACACACACAGGTGAGCAGAGAGAGAACGTGTGAAAAAGTTTTTCTGGAACAAACTGAAGCTGGAGATTCTGTGGATTCTGTTACAGGACGAGTCGGAGAAGTTTCTATGGATGATGTCACAGAAACAAACAAACCACGGCCACGATTCCACAGCAGGCGAGTGTTTGATTCTCCACAGACATGAACTCTGTGAAATGTCCCCACAATTGTGTCGGGGAGATTTTCCAGAGCTCGTCTTTCACGTACAAGAGTGTCTTCGCTCGGACACATTCACAACACAGTGAGTGTGGTGAGTGGTGGAGCGGCAGGAGGCGGGACATGACGAATAAATTGTGCTTTGGAAAGATCAGTGTTGTTGTTTACAGCTCGTCCACGTCGCCCTTATCACCAAAACATGATGTTATCTTTCTTTTTTAATCTTTATATGCTTATTTTTCTATTCTTGCATGGAGCATTTGTAACAAACACAATTTTCCCCCTGGGATCAACAAAGTATTTCAGATTCTGAAGTTGACGTCTTCTACGTGTACGAGCGGCTCCTCCTCTTCTTCGTCCTGAGATATTTCTGTTATTTTGGGTGTTTTTAAATGTGCCCCTCCAGATCATTTCAGGAGAATAACAGGAGTTCAGTGCAGGTCTCAGAGAAGCTTCACTTTTCTCCAGAACAATGTAGAAATATCAGATGTCTCAGTTCTCTGCGGTCGCTCCATGTTTCACCTCCTCAGTCTCCTCCCTCCTCACTTTACACCTCCAGCCTTCGCTGAGTCGCTGCTCGTCGGCTCCAAACATTGTTCAGACCTCAGGATGGATCTGTAACCTGCCGACCGTTTCCTTCCTGGATTCATTTTGACAGGATCAATTCACATCTCCTAAACAAGTGGCTTTACATTTGTGCCTCGTCAGCGTTTGAGTTTAATAAGAATCAGAGGCTGCGTCACATCTTTCACAGTGATTCTGCTGCAGGCCACAAAAAAAAACCTTTTTTACTGCCAATTATTCCGTTAGTGAACGAACAGCACGTCTCAATTTTTCATCCCTTTGGTTTGAGGCAGCGCTTGTAAACAAACCTGTCAGCTGCAGCCTCAGCAAGATGACACACACACACACACACTCTCTCTCTCTCTCTTATGGTATGTAAAGCTCCTCTAACACACGTGTATTCAAACAGGCAGCTCCAAATATAAACCACATACTAAACATTCACCTCAGTGAACTTAACCTACACTGTGTGTGTGTGTGTGTGTGTGTGTGTGTTTACCTGATGATCTTGACCAGCTCGCTCATGTTGACGTGGTCGGGAACCAGGAACTTGGTCTTGTCCAGGACAGGCAACTGCTTCTCTCCCTTATATCTCTCGATGATGACCTGCGGCGGGAACATAAACACGTCAGCTAAATGAAACGTGATCGTAATCTCCACTTCCTCCCTCTGTCCATAAATGAACGTAAAACATCTCAGATAAGAACGCTGCCATCTTCAGTCAGAGTCGATAGATGAGCTCCACCAGTCGTGAGTCAGTCTCAGCTGTCAATGACGTCTCAGCCCGTTTTTATATCGTCAAATACGTTTGATTTTAATAGCCCGTATTCACATGGAGGAGGCAGGGTCCCATTTGGCAGCCGTCACGTTGTTCATCTTTATTCACAGTCTGCGGCTCCGCCCCCTCGTCAAACTGCTAATTTTTCCTTTTTGTGTTTTGATGAAAAACAAATTGTTCATTTTAAAGTAGTTTGTTTCAGAGTGACTATCGAGTGGATGTTGTTGCCTCGGGACAGAGTTAAGCTACAGCAGCTGTTTTCCAGTCTTTCCGTGAAGCAAAGCTAATCTAAGCTCAGGCGTGTGTGTGTGTGTGTGTGTGTGTGTGTGTGTGTGTGTGTGTGTGTGTGTGTCCGTGTGTGCGTGCGTGTGTGTGAGAGAGATCAGCAGCTTACAGGGATCTTGTTGGGGTGCTGCTCACGGATCTGCTGCACCTCTTTGCACCGGTCAGCTGTTGACAAAAAATAACATTTTTAAACAACGAGCAGAATTAAAAAACTCTTTCAGGATCTATCACCCGACGTTGATCTACTGTCAGTCTGTGTTTGACTTCACGTGAACCGGTTTCTCTTTTAGGAGACACAGCTTAGTGAATTCTTAATTCTTTCATGACGACTGATCCTGCAGCTAAAAGAATTGTCTGGTGTGTTTCATGTCTCACACAGACTCTGATGTTTCTCGTTGACCCGCTGCCTCCTATATCTTTAGATGATGCAGTGATAAATACCTCCCCCTCACCTCCCCCTCTCCTCCCAAAAGTGAAAAAGAACCTGTGGTAAACTTTAATTGTCATAAAACTCAAAAGGTTTTAGTTTGTCCAGTCTGGACTAATGTAAAGCAACATGGTGGCCTCCGTAGAGAGGACCCCCTCCATGTAAATATAAAGTATTTAAATATAAAGGGTCTTTTCTGGGGTAAAGAAAACTACAATTCATATAATTTAGTGACAACATCATGAGGATTATTCTACATTAACTTTCTGCCAATGGATCCTTTCACCTGAATCTGACTCACTGGAGCTTTAAGAATTCTCTGTTCGTGTCCTTTTATTTTTTCACTTGATCTTTGTGAACTGAATTTACGTATTTCACATCTTTGCATATGATTTGTGGACGTCTCCTTGAGTTCAGCTGCAGTGAGCTGCCATGTTTTGACCACTTCACTCTACAACACACGCTTCCCTTTGTGAGCAGCCCGCTGCCCCGTTACAGAAACAGTGACGGGCTCAAAGCTCAGATCCAGAGACACGGTGTGAAAGGTTCCTTTGTTTTCTTTGTGTTTCCTCACAGTGAGAGTTGTACTTAATTATTACTGGAATATTATCATACTACTGGGTTTTCATTTGACATGGTCTCACAGAAAAATGCTAATACTAACATACCAATCTTAAATACAGGTTATGTATGTGTAAGTATAATAAATACTTTATTATTATTATTATTATTAAAGTAGAAGGATTTACAATTATCTTGGAGCAGGGTAATATCACAACCTCTTCTAGAGAAAAACAAATAAATACTTGAATAAATACTACCTCTGTACCTGCATTTACTAATGAGTACACAACTACTAGTGAGAAAGTGGTTGTACCACAGGTCTGTGATAGTTTCATGATACCAGTGTTGTGTCACTGTGACAAACAGCAGTTACAAACATTATACAGCTGAATACACAACAGCTGATCACAACTCACTCACTTTATAGAGTTAGAACCACGGAGAACAGGAAGTGGAGTCTGAAGCTCGTCCCTTGTGTCTCTGTAATGTCCCATGTGTCTCTGTATGATCCCATGTGTCTCTGT